TTAATATGGCAATCATTAATTAACACAAACATAAAAATGGCACGACTTTCTAATAACATTAAGTAAACCAATTTTGACACAACAAATAAGTTTGTCTATAAACTTCCCATTTGTGTTATGTCTTAATCTCATATGTTTTGAAACCATGATTTACATTAATTTGTTTCCATTTGTTTCAACTTTTTAAGAATATAATTTTCCTTCCAAATCTCTCATTAATTTGGATCAGTGGATTTAAGCTCAAATTAAAAAAAAAACTTTGCATATTAGTATCCACTTAAATCCAAAATCACGTCTTCTTCTATATCATGTTATAAATGGTATCCAATTTTTCTGTTGATTCTTTCCTTAAACTGTAATTTCTGTTTGAGTAAAATGCATTTTTGGTCATTGAGTTTTGCATCAATTTGATCAATGTATTTACTTTTGAAATCGTGACAAAATACAGTAACCAAAAATGCATTTTACCCTTAATGTCTTACCTATTATAACTTTTTTTTTTGGGAAAGTCTGTGGGACAACGCCAAGAACAGTTTAAAAGAGAGCAATCAATTTGGAGACAAATGGGAGCAAATTCAGGAGAGATATATGCATCATACCTCAAAGCAATTTTCTTGTGATCAAGCACCAAAAGGTAAGTTGACTTGTCCAAGTAAGCCACGAAGAACGTTAGGACTATATCAACGGCGAAGAACGCATCCACCACCAAATCAACGGGCATGAGAGACCCCATTGCCACTTTCTTGAAGGCTAGCTCAAATGGCGACGCCCATGCTGAGTATATCACCAGTAACACCAAGAACGCCTGCCACCACCTGCATCACATTCAAACATACACATCGAATGATCTTTTGCCAGACTCTGAATATATATATATATATATATATCTCGACACGCACGTTGTCAGACAGTGAATATATGTCTCAAGATGCGTTGTCAGATTGTGAATTTGAACAAACTGAGTATATGATAACTGTCTGATAACAGAAAACGATACTTTACCGGTATCTCCTGTCGTAGGGAGCAATTACAAATTTCTTGAGTTGCAAGTGCCCTACATCGACCACAGTACCAAAAGCCGGTAAGATGCTGCTTGAGACCGAGGCCAAATTCCTGATTTCCCCGCTGGACCGCCTTCGGAACAGCAAAGGGAGCGGCGAGGTTGTCCACGACGTCATTGTTGAGAGAGAGAGTGAGAGAGAGAGAGAGAGAGAGAGGGAAGGGGAGGCTCTTGCCTCTTGTTTATGCAAGTCTACGATCTCATTGAATTAGAATAATAATATAGCCGTGTATAGCTTCTAATATTTTGTGCAAGTGTTAGGGCTAATTATTATATAATAGGGGAAAGGTGGTAGATAGCTATCAAACCATCTTATATTATTCATAATTCGGGTGAAGATATTTAGGGAATTAATTGTATCACATTCCTTTG